GGCTCACCGCAAACTCTGCCTCCTGGGTTTGAGCAATTCTCCTGCCTCAGCCTCCTGAGTAGCTGGGATTACAGGCATGCGCCACCATGGCCTACTAATTTTGTATTTTTAGTAGAGATGGGTTTCTCCATGTTGGGCAGGCTGGTCCGAACTCCCGGCCTCAGGTGATCAGCCACCGCGGCCTCCCAAAGTGCTGGAATTACAGGCATGAGCCACTGGATTTTCTTTCTTTTTCTTTCTTTTTTTTTCTTTTTTCTTTCTTTCTTTTTTTTTTTTTTCAGACAGAGTCTCGCTCTTTCGCCAGGCTGGAGTGCATTGGCTGGAGTGCAATCTCCGCTTACTGCGACTTTCGCCTCCTGTGTTCAAACGATTCTCCTGCTTCAGCCTCTCGAGGAGCTGGGGCTACAGGCGCGCACCACCACGCCCAGCTAATTTTTGTATTTTTAGTAGAAACGGGGTTTGACCACGTTGGTCAGGTTGGTCTCGATCTCTTGACCTCAGGTGACCTGCCCTTTTTGGCCTCCCAAAGTGCTGGTATTACAGGCGTCAGCCACCGCTCCCGGCCTATTTCTGTTGTTTCTTGCTCTGGGAAAGAGTCTGGTGCAGTTGGATTCCTCGGTCTCTACTGCAGAACAAGCCATAGCCCTCTCCTCCCATCTCCATGCTGAACCTCTCCACATTCTGTGTCTGCCCTTCACATTTTATAGTCCCTGCAGCTTAGTAAATGTACAAGGCATACTATGTGTATCAGTCATCAGAGGAGGTACATTCTGCCCTCTCACAACAGCTGGGAATTTCTCCTCTGCTGACCTCTGGTGGTGATAGTTTGAACTGTACCCTCCCTTTTTAGTTGGTGGCCTGTTGTTGGCCATCAATTAATGGGTCATATTTTCTCGACAATTTAAATTCAGCTGTTGGCCGGGCATAGTGGCTCATGCCTGTAATCCAAGCACTTTGGAGGCCAAGGCGGACAGATCACCTGAGGTCGGAAGTTCAAGATCAGCCTGACCAACATGGTGAAACCCCATCTTAAAAAAAAAAAAAATTCAAATGTCCAAGTATAGTAGTAAGTGGTAATTTTTTTTTTTTTTTTAAGATGGAATCTTGCTGTGTCGCCCAGGCTGGAGTGCAATGGTGCAATCTCAGCTTACTGCAACCTCTGCCTCATGAGCTCAAGTAATTCTCCTGCCTCAGTCTCTCGAATAGCTCGGATTACAGGCACGAACCTTCGCGCCCAGCTAATTTTTGTATTTTAGCAGAGACGAGATTTCACCATGTTGGCCAGGCTGGTTTTGAACTCCTGACCTCAGGTGATCCACCCGCCTCAGCCTCCCAAACTGCTGGGATTACGGGCGTGAGCCACAGCACCCGGCCCGGTAATTTTTTTTCATTGTTGAATTTTGTACATGTTTCAGGCAGTATGGTGTAATGCAAAGAACAGAGCCTGGACTTTGAAGTCAGACTTGCCTAGGTTCAAATCCCAGCTCTTTCCTAGCTGAATGACCTTGGGCAACTTACCTAAGCTCAATTTTCTTACCTATAAAGTGGAAATAATAATAATAAATATTTCAGGGAGAATTAGATGAGATGATTGTAAAATGCATAGCTCTAGCTGTGCCCCAGCACATAGCAGGTGCTTGATAAGAAATCTGTTAACACCTCAACAGTGGTTATTTGTTCAGCCTATGAATCAATGTGATTTTTTTTTTTAGTAAAATCCACATAGCAAAATTTACCATTGTTACTATTTTCAATGTGTTTTTAAGAAATTCTGATAAATTGGCCTGGGCGTGGTGGCTCACACCTGTAATCTCAGCACTTTGGAAGACCGAAGTGGCAGATCACAAGGTCAGGAGTTCAAGACCAGCCTGGCTGACATAGTGAAACTCCGTCCCTACTAAAAATACAAAAATTAGCCTGACGTGGTGATGGGTGCCTGTAGTCCTACTTGGGAGGCTGATGCAGGAGAATCGCTTGAGTCCAGGAGGCAGAGGTTGCAGTGAGCCGAGATTATGTGACTGCACTCCAGCCTGGGTGATACAGCAAGACTCTGTCTAAAAAAAAAAAAAAAAAAAAAAAATTCTGATATACTTTGTGATTCTTAAGTTTGGAAAACAGGGTAACCTCTAGTATGGGCTGTGAGGCATTCCTCTGCTCAACCAGCTACAGATGTGAACCCTGAATATAAAGGGATCTTAGGCTAGAAAGGATCTTGGGCAGAGCTGAATGACTCTAAGCATTTGACCTCACTTTGGTTTTCTACTGAAAAGAGTCAACAGAGTCCGCATCTTCTTCCAAGGTCAGCAAAGGGCAGAGATTTGAAATTAGGCATCACTGGGTTCTCAGCTGGGCCTCCAAGGTCCCCTCCTCCCACTATGCAGAGCAAAGAGGAGGCTGCAGAAGAGAAGAGGATATAAGATTGGTTCTCTGCTCCTCCCTTTCTTTCCCTGCTTTCCCCACACCCACCCTCTCCCCCACAGCAGCCTTCTCCCCCACAGAGGCTGGGAAAGGATGAGGGGGGCGGAGTTGGGGACTGAGGGATCAGAAGTCCCACGATGCCCTGTATCTGAAGAAAGCTTTGGCCAGGGGCAGCTGTGTTGGCTCATGCTCTCCTCCTCCTGCTGCTGCTATCCTCCAGCAAGATGCTAGGGTCTCTGGGGCTTTGGGCATTACTTCCCACAGCTGTGGAAGGTAAGCGTCGACAGGGAGGGGCAGGGTCTTTCCATCCACCCAGCGAGGGAAAGGGGTGCTTGAAGGAACAGCCACCCCTTTGGAAGAGTGGTGAGTGGGCTGGGTGTGTGAAGATGAAGGATAGAGCCATGTGTCCCCATGGTAGGGCTCAGGTTCCAGGCCTCTGCTGACCCTGGTTCCTCCTGTGGCTTTACCATACTGACGCTGGGATGTGAAACATGTTTTGTCTGTTCTTTTGGCCACTTTTCGGACTCTGCATTCACTCCCATCTTGAATCCTTTCCTTTCCCCACCTGGGCCTCAGCACCCCCAAACAGGCGAACCTGTGTGTTCTTTGAGTCCCCCGGAGTGCGGGGAAGCACAAAGACATTGGGAGAGTTGCTAGATGCAGACCCAGAGCTCCCCAGAGCTATCCGCTGCCTCTACAGCCGCTGCTGCTTTGGGATCTGGAACCTGACCCAAGACCGGGCACAGGTGGAAATGCAAGGTGAATGGCAAAGTATATGCTAGGTGATAGCTAGGGTGGGGGACAGACACATCCTGGGGTGTGGGTGGCAGCCAAGGGGGAAGGGGAAAAATAGAATATGTGGTGGGAAAGAAAAGCCCATGAGAGATGGAAGGGATGCCTCCGACAGAGAAGGGATTTATCCTCTGTTTCCACACCCCTTTGTGCTTTCTTCCTTGCTCCTTCTTTCTCTCCTCTTCCCCTAATCCCACCCCATCAGGATGCCGAGACAGTGATGAGCCAGGCTGTGAGTCCCTCCACTGTGACCCAAGTCCCCGAGCCCACCCCAGCCCTGGCTCCACTCTCTTCACCTGCTCCTGTGGCACTGACTTCTGCAATGCCAATTACAGTCATCTGCCTCCTCCAGGGAGCCCTGGGACTCCTGACTCCCAGGGTCCCCAGGTCACCCCAGGTAGCCACCCAAGGGTACCGGAACCTGGTGGGGGCTGGGGCCCAGGTTAGGATGAGAGGTGGAACCAGTGCTAGTTCTCACCCTACTCCCACCCCATACTATCCTCCTCCTGGCCTTGGGAAGTTGGTTGCCCTGGTGACTGGGAGATAAGGGGTCTTGTGACCAGGGTGGGGGTGGGTGGAAAAGCAAACTCTCAGGAGGGGAAGAGCAGAGAGCAGGTTTGGGTCAGGGTTCGCCAGCCTGCATTCTTGCCTTGATGTCCAGGTGAGTCCATCTGGATGGCACTGGTGCTGCTGGGGCTGTTCCTCCTCCTCCTGCTGCTGGTGGGCAGCATCATCTTGGGTACTAATCCACCCCATCCCTCCCTTGTGACCCCAGATTGCCCCAAAGCTCTGACCCCTCTCCAGGCACCCATGGTCTTGGGATCTCTATAGCCTGATTCCCAGACTCCCATTACCTCTCACAAAGCTGCCTTTCCACAAAGTCCCCTTTCCTGTCCCCATGCATGCGCACCCTGACCCTAAGGCTTTTCTCTGTTCCAGCCTTGCTACAGCGAAAGACTTACAGAGTGAGAGGTGAGCCAGAGCCAGAGCCAGGGCCAGACTCAGGCAGGGACTGGAGTGTGGAGCTGCAGGAGCTGCCCGAGCTGTGCTTCTCCCAGGTGCCCAGGGAGGGAGAGAAGGGCTCCTCTGGGCACTCCTGGAGGTTGTGCTGGGGAGGAAGCCTTGCCCTGGTATAGCTCAGAGGCCCACACTCAGCACAGTGTCCCTACCAGGTAATCCGGGAAGGAGGTCATGCAGTGGTTTGGGCCGGGCAGCTGCAAGGCAAACTGGTTGCCATCAAGGCCTTCCCACCGAGGTCTCTGGCTCAGTTCCAAGCTGAGAGAGCATTGTACGAACTGCCAGGCCTACGGCACGACCACATTGTCCGATTTATCACCGCCAGCCGCGGGGGCCCTGGCCCCCTGCTCTCTGGGCCGCTGCTAATACTGGAACTGCATCCCAAGGTGAGCATCAAGGAATGTATATGTGTGTGTATGCCTGTATGGAGGTGGGGGCTACACAGCAGCTGGGTCCTGTTCACGCTTCTGCTTTAGATTTTCTCTTTTCCAAAACATTAAAAATGGCCACGCGAGATAGCCCACACCTGTAATCCCAGGACTTTGGGAGGTCAAGGTGGGTGGATCACTTAAACCCAGGAGCTCAAGACCAGCCTGAGCAACATGAGGAAACCCCATCACTGCAAAATTACAAAAATTAGCTCAGCATGGCATTGCATACCTGTAGTCCCAGCTACTCAGGAGGCTGAGGTGGGAGAATTGCTTGACCCTGGGAGGTTGAGGCTGTGTGAGCCGTGAGCATGCCACTGCACTCCAGCATGGAAGAGCAAGATCATGCTCGCTTCGGCAGCATGTATACTAAAATTGGAACAATACAGAGAAGATTAGCATGGCCCCTGTGCAAGGATGACACGCAAATTCGTGAAGTGTTCTACACATAAATAAAAAAAACAGAGCAAGACCATCTCAAAAAATAATAATAGGGGCCGGGTGCTGTGGCTCACACTGGTAATCCCAGCACTTTGGGAGGCCGAGGTAGGCAGATTGCTTGAACCCAGGAATTCAAGAACAGCCTAGGCAACACTGTGAAATCCCACCTATACAAAAAACAAAAAATTGTCTGGGCATGGTGACACATGCCTGTGGTCCCAGCTATTCAGGAGGCCGAGATGGGAAGAGCACCTGAGCCTGGGGAGGTCAAGGCTGGCAGTACGCTGAGATTGTGCCACTGCACTCCAGCCTAGGTGACAGAGTAAGACCCTATCTCAATAATAGTAATATTTTTTATTATTTTTTCTTTTTTATTACATAAACAATATATGTTTATGTGTGTGTGTGTGTGTGTATTTTTTTTTTTCTTTTTTTTGAGACGAAGTCTTGCTCTGTTGCCCAGGCTGGAGTGCAATGGCATGAGTTCAGCTCACTGCAACCTCTGCCTCCTGGGTTCAAGTGATTCTCCTGCCTCAGCCTCCCCAGTAGCTGGGAGTACAAGCGTCCAACACCTTGCCTGGCTAATTTTTGAATTTTTACTAGAGACAGGGTTTCACCGTGTTGCCCAGGCTGGTGTCGAACTCCTGACCTCAGGTGATCTGCCCTCCTTGACCTCCCAAAGTGCTGGGATTACAGGCATGAGCCACTGTGCCCAGTCAAAAAACCCCCAAAAGACAAAAAACCCCAACATTGTTAAAGAAATACCTCCAGGCACAGCCCTCCAAACTCATTCACATATTAATTCAACAAATAATTATGAACTATATGTCAGGCACTATGCTAAAGGCCAGGAAAAACACGGTCCCTGCCTTTACAAATCTTGCAGACTAACGGAGGAGACAGAAATGGATCAAGTAAACACAATGTCAAATGTCAAGTGTGCTAAGTGCTAGAAGGCAGCACCACTGAACTATAAGAAAGAATAATAAGACGTGACTTGATGGGGAGCGCAATGAACAATAAGAAGAAGTAACGGCAGGCAGAGGCCAGCCACACCAGGGCCTATGGGCCTGCTAAAGATTTGGGGCTTTTGACCGAGCACAGTGACTCACGCCTGTAATCCCAGCACTTTGGGAGGCTCAGGCAGGTGGATCACCTGAGGTCAGGAGTTCGAGATCAGCCTGGCTAACATGTTGAAACCCCGTTTCCACTAAAAATACAAAAAATTAGCCAGGCGTGGTGACACACGCCTGTAATCCCAGCTACTTGGGAGGCTGAGGCAGGAGAATCAGAGAGGCGGAGGCTGCAATGAGCCAAGATTGCACCATTACACTGCAGCTTGGGTAACGAGCAAAACTCCATCTCGAAAAAAAAGAAAAAAAAAGGCCTGGTGCAGTGGCTCACACCTGTAATCCCAGCACTTTGGGAGGCTGAGGTGAGTGGATCACCTGAAGTCAGGAGTTCATTTTTTTTTTTTTAAGACGGGGTTTCACCATGTTGGTCAGGCTGGTCTTGAACTCCCGACATCAGGTGATCCGCCTGCCTTGGCCTCCAAAGTGCTTGGATTACAGGCGTGAGCCATCGCGCCCGGCCTGAAGTCAGGAGTTCAAGACCAGCCTGGCCAAAATGGTGAAACCCTGTCTCTACTGAAAATACAAAAATTAGCTGGACATGGTGGCCCGTGCCTGTAATCCCAGCTATTTGGGAGGCTGAGGCAGGAGAATCACTTCAGCCCAGCAGGTGGAGGTTGCAGTGAGCTGAGATTGCACCATTGCACTCCAGCCTGGTCAACAGGGCGAGACTACGTCTCAAAAATAAATTTGGGACTATTTAAACTTTTATATAATTTCCCATCTGCTTCCTGCTAGGTATTATAGTACATACTCTTTTTCTTTTTGTTTTTGAGATGGAGTCTCACTTTGTCACCCAGACTGGATGGAGTGCAGTGGCATGATCTTGGCCCACTGCAACCTCTGCCTCCCAGGTTCAAGTGATTCTCCTGCCTCAGTCTCCCAAGTAGCTGGAATTACAGGAGTGTGCCACCATGCCCAGCTAATTTTTCTATTTTTAGTAGAGACAGGGTTTCACCATGTTGGTCAGGCTGGTCTTGAACTCCTGACCTCTTCTTTTATTTTTTTTTCTTTTTACTTAAGAGTAAACATGATTGCTATGAACTCCTGACCTCAAGCCATCTCGGCCTCCCAAAGTGCTGGGAGCCACCCTGGCCTTTCTTCTTTTTTTTTTTTTTGGACAGAGTTTCATTGTGTTGCTCAGGTTAGGGTGCAGTGGCACAATCTCGGCTCACTGCAGCTGCAGCCTCTACCTCCTGGGTTCAAGCAATTCTGTCTCAGCTACCCAAGTAGCTGGGATGACAGGCGTGCCGTCACCACTCCTGGCTAATTTTTGTATTTTTAGTAGAGATGGGTTTCACCATATTGGCCAGGTTGGTCTTGAACTCCTGACCTCAAGTGATCTGCCCACCTCAGCCTCCCAAAGTGCTGGGGTTATAGGCGTGAGCCACCCCACCTGGCCGCAGTGCCCACTTTAAACACATTTTCGAACTTACCCTTCACAAACACATTGTGAGGAAGGAATGCTTATCCACATGGGGCTCAGAAAAGGAAAGTCATTTGCCCAGAATCTGCGTGACTCTAGAGCTGGCTCCTCATCATCTTGTCTATTGCCTCCTGTTTACCCCTCCATCAGGACTGTGTGTGTCTCTGTCCACGTGGGAGAGCTCCCCACAACTCACTTTGCCCTATTGTAAGTAGTTCAACCTGTACAACCTGTTTCGGTGCTCAGATGCAGGGGCTCTTCCCTGGACTTTATCAGCACCTACAGCTTCTGCACCTCTGAAACCTTGAATTCTGGAAAGTTCCCTCTTTGACCCCATACCTCCCGGCCCAGCTCAAAAATCACGTTTTTATTTGTTAAAATTTCTGTGACTTCTCCAGGCAGGGTTAGTCATTCTTGCTTTATGCCCCTCGGGACTCAGTTAATTTTCCCATCTTGGGGTTCACTGCATTCTTTTTACTTTTTTTTTTTTTGAGATGGAGTCTCGCTCTGTCACCCAGCCTGGAGTGCAGTGGCGCGACCTCAGCTCTCTGCAATCTCCGTCTCCCAGGTTCAAGCGATTCTCCTGCTTCAGCTTCCCAAGTAGTTGGGACTATAGGCAAGAGCCACCACGTCTAGCTAATTTTTGTATTTTTAGTAGACACGGGGTTTCACTATGTTGGCCAGGCTGGTCTTGAACTCCTGACCTCGTGATCTACCCACCTCAGCCTCCCAAGGTGCTGGGATTACAGGTGTGAGCCACTGTGCCCAGCCTTTGCATTCTTTATCTCTCTTTTTTTTTTTTTTTGAGACCGAGTCTCACTCTGCCTCCTGGATTTGAGCCATTCTCCTGCCTCAGCCTCCTGAGCAGCTGGGATTACAGGTACCTGCCACTATTCCTAGCTAATTTTTTGTATTTTTATTTATTTATTTTGTTCTTTATTCTAATTTTTTGTATTTTTAATAGACACAGGGTTTCACCCTGTTGGCCAGGCTGGTCTCAAACTCCTGACCTTGTGATTCTCTTGCCTCGGCCTCCCAAAGTGCTAGGATTACAGGCGTGAGCCACTGCGCCCAGCCTTGCATTCTTTATCTCTTACCTTCCCTGAGCCATCTTGTGCCTGAACACAGATCGTGGCCACTGAAGGTGCTCCATAACACTTGTTGAATAAGAGATTCTGTTGCTTCTTTCCCTCCAATTCCCAGTTGCCCTCCACCTGCTACTCTGTTATCCACTGGCTCTGCCTGTCCATGTGTATGCAGGCCTGACACCTCAGACAAGGTGGTTCGTGAGGGATGCCTGACTAGCTTACCCTGCCTCCTCTGTTTCTGTCTTTGCTCCACGTCTTCTGAGTCAGTATAAGCTGGTGGTTATTAATAAGTGACCCTGAGTCAGAGTGTTTGGATTCAAGCTCCACTCCTGCCTCATCAACTGATTCAAGCGTGTTTCCTTAGCTCTCTAAGGAAAAGCTCTTCATCTGTTAAATGGGGGTGTGATAGGAGCATCTACCTCCTAGGGTTGTCACAAGAATTACGGGAGGCCCCGTACACTGGGCCTGGACCACAGTAAGTGCTCAGTACCCTTGATCCAGAGTTACTAGTTTTTCATGTCAGTCGATGCACAGTCTTACTCCTACCTATAGTCTTGGCCAGCATCTGTCAGTGTGTCTGTCTGCTGGGGAGATGCAGCGAGAAGACTGTCAATTGATATCTGCTCCCTGAGATGGATCACCTGCCTCCAGCTCTGTGTACCGTCCTCTTCTCTCTGCTTTTCCCCAGGGCTCCCTGTGCCACTACTTGACCCGGCACACCAGTGACTGGGGAAGTTCCCTGCGGATGGCACTGTCCCTGGCCCAGGGCTTGGCATTTCTCCATGAGGAGCGCTGGCAGAATGGTGGGTGAGCTGGGCATAGGGAGTCAAGGGAGCCACACTGCTATGTTTCTGATTCTCCCTTAGTTTGGAGGGGAAGGACTGGGTCAAAAGAGAGGGCTGGGCGCGGTGGCTCAGACCTGTAATCCAAGCACTTTGGAGGCCAAGGCGGGCGGATCACCTGAGGTCAGGAGTTCAAGACCAGCCTGACCAACATGGTGAAACCCCGTCTTTATAAAAAATAAAAAAAATTAAAAAAAAAAAAAGAAAAAAGAAAAGAGAGAGGAAGAAGATCCATGTTCCTCCAACCTTGGAATTCCCCCACAGGCCAGTATAAACCAGGTATTGCCCACCGAGATCTGAGTAGCCAGAATGTACTCATTCGGGAAGATGGATCCTGTGCCATTGGAGACCTGGGCCTTGCCATGGTGCTTCCTGGCCTCACTCAGCCCCCTGGCTGGACCCCTACTCAACCACAAGGCCCAGCTGCCATCATGGAAGTGAGTTCTCTGGATAACTGGTGAGGCCCAGGATGATGGTGGTGTTGCTGATGGCAGTGCTGCTGTTGTGTGTTAATAGTTGTAGCTA